TTTTTAATAGTAATAATATTAAAGCTAGAAAATATAATTAGTAAGAAAATTATGATAAAAAAAATTAAAAATTTATGATAACGGATTATAGTAATTTTAGAAGAAGGAATTCAAAAATTTTGAAAATTTTATTTTAGAAGGTTTCGTAAAAAAATTAAAAAAAAAGTTAAAAAAATAAAAAAAACAAATTAAAATGATTGCAAAAGGACAAAGCACCTTTCAGAGGTTGAATCAGGAGGAAGCCAATTTCGGTGGTGATGGAAGTCAAAATATTATTTTTAATAAAATATTATTTTAATAAAATATTAAAAAAAATTAAATAGTGTCAAATCTTAGCCTATAAATAACAAGCAAGGGGGAGGTTGAATTTTGAACCAAGAATTGAGAAATTTTGAGAAGAGAGTGTTAGGTGAAAATTCTAGTTGTAAAGAGGAGATTCTGGAAGTTTTTTTGGGAACAATCTGATCAAGATATTGAGTCTGGAACAGAGGTAAGTGGAGCTAACTTTCATAGGCTTTTATGTTAATTATTTAATTATTATTCATGTATTGAATTATTATGTATGTTTATGTGTTAGTGTATTTTTTTCTATTGCATCTTTCTGGAAGGATAAGAAGATATCTAACCAGCTATGCCAGATTCAACTTCTTAGTTTCCCATAACGTTTATTTTTTTTTTCTCTTGCATCTTTCTTATTGAATTATTGTGTATGTCTATGTGTTAGTGCATTTTTTCTTGCATCTTTCTAGAAGGATAAGAAGATGTCTAACCGGCTATGCCAGATTCAACTTCTTAGTTCCCCAGAACGTTTATTGTTATCTATTAAATTTCAGTGTGAGAATTTTGGGTGTTACATTAGTTATTGAATATGAGGCAACAACGGTGCATGGAATTTTTGAAGGATTATGACTTTGAACTCTTGTATCATTCGGGGAAGGTGAATATGGTAGTTGATGCTTTGAGTAAGAAGACAATTCATGTTTCACAAATAATGATTAAAGAATTAGAATTGGTAGAGAAGTTTAGAGATCTGAAGCTACAAATTGAGTATGGGATAGATTTCATTAGATGTAGTAGTCTAACTATATCTAGTGACTTTGTTAATTTAATTAAGGAGAAGCAGTTTGAACCTTAGCCTGAAAAACATAACAGAATTGAACGGAATGGAATAGGCTAAAGAATTTAGGCTGGGATCTGATGGTGTATTAGGGTTTAAAAGTAGAGTATGTGTGTCAGACAATGTGGAGATGAAGAGATTAATCCTCGAAGAAGGACACAAGAGTCGTTGGGATGAAATACTTCCTCTAGTGGAATTCACCTACAACAATAGCTTTCATGCTAGTATTGGAATGACACCTTACGAGACTTTATATGGAAGACGATATCGAACTCCTTTATGTTGGTACCAGGATGGTGAAAGGGCTTTGGTAGGACCTGGATTACTACAACAAACCACAGACAAAATAAAGTTGATACGAGAAAGAATGAAGGCTTCGCAGAGTAGACAAAAGTCATATGTTGATCAAAGGAGAAGACCGCTGGAGTTTGCAGTCGAAGATCATGTCTTCTTGCGAGTGACTTCAACCACTAGTGTAGGAAGGGCTCTTCGTTCGAAGAAACTTTCTCCTTAATTCATTGGTCCATATCAAATTTTAAGAAGAATTGGGCCAATCACTTACGAGATTGCCTTGCCTCCTAAGTTGGCCAATCTCCATTCAGTTTTTCACGTTTCTCAACTAAGGAAGTATGTACCTGATCCTTCTCACATTCTAGAAGTATAGGAGATTCAAATGAGAGAGGACCTCTCGGTAGAAGTACAACCAGTTAGTATAGAAGATCCTCGGACAAAGCAACTCAGAGAAAAAACTATCAACTTAGTCAAAGTGGTTTGGGATAGAAAAATAAGTGACTCTACTTGGGAATTAGGAGATTATGTGAAGCGTTTGTACCCTCATTTGTTTTTGTGAAGTGTCAAATTTTCGAGGTCGAAAATTTTTTGTTGTTGGGGAGAAAGAAAAGTCAATTAAAATTATCCATTTTAATAAATAGTAGCATTTTTTTAGTAGCAATAATTTAAAGGTAGAAAATATAATTAATAAGAAAATTATGATAAGAAAAATTAAAAATTTATGATAACTGATTATAGTAATTTTAGAAGAAGGAATTCAAAATTTTGAAAATTTTATATTAGAGGGTTTTGTAAAAAAAATTAAAAAAAAGTTAAAAAAATAAAAAAAAAACAAATTAAAATGATTGCAAAAGGACAAAGCACCTTTCAGAAGTTGAATGAGGAGGAAGCCAATTTCGGTGGTGATGGAAGTCAAAATATTATTTTTAATAAAATATTAAAAAAAATTAAATGGTGTCAAATCTTAGCCTATAAATAGCAAGCAAGGGGGAGGTTGAAATTTGCACCAAGAATTGAGAAATTTTGAGAAGAGAGTGTTAGGTGAAAATTCTAGTTGTAAAGAGGAGATTCTGGAAGTTTTTTGGGAACAATTTGATCAAGATATTGAGTCTGGAACACAGGTAAGGGGAGCTAACTTTCATAGGCTTTTATGTTAATTATTTAATTATTATTCATGTATTGAATTATTGTGTATGTCTATGTTTTAGTGTATCTTTTTCTATTGCATCTTTCTAGAAGGATAAGAAGATGTCTAACCGGCTATGTCAGATTCAACTTCTTAGTTTCCTCATAATGCTTATTTTTTTTCTTGCATCTTTCTTATTGAATTATTGTGTATGTCTATGTGTTAGTGTATTTTTCTTGCATCTTTCTTATTGAATTTTGTTGTTTATAGGCGCAATTAGTGTCCTTTAATCTATGGGAGTTGTTTGGAAATTTTTTAAGGTTGTTTGGTCTTCTAGCAGATAAGGGAAGATAATGATTTCTTTATTTTCAAATTAATAAGTATGAATTATGGTTGCTAGGTTGTAAGGTTGATGTTCAATTGATTTTGTTATAATTAGAAATGGTTGTTTAGTGATAATTGTGTTTTGATGAGTGTATTTGGTTAAATGATGCATGAGGCTATGAATGATTGTGAATTTGTACTTGTATGATCTTTTGAATGTTGTTGTTCTATAGTGTAAATTGTATAAACTTGATGTGGTATTGGGAAGCAGAGAATAGGCTAAGTTATAGGTTAGTTTTTAATCTAAAAAGGTGGTCAAATAGGAGAAACTGAGTTTTTAGTCTATTTTAGGGTCATTTAAAACTTGTCTAGACTTCTAGTTAATAAAAAAAATGTAATTGAGTTGGTAAGTAGTCAATAAATCAAGTTTTTGGTTCATTTTAGGGGTTTAAAAAGGTGAAAATCTAAAGGAGTAGGTCTATGTTAAAAATAAAGGTTTGAGGTTTGTTTTTGAGATAATTGTGACTTGTTTAGACCCTTAGTTTGCTAGATTCTAATTTATAAAGTGTAGAATTGGTTATAGTGTTTTTTGAGTGGTTGGGTTGGTCTAGTACATCATATTTCTATCCAAATGAGCAATGTGGTACTCCTTTTTCATATAAAAACATGTTTTCGTATAAATCTTAATGCTAAACTTGAATTGGTTTTGGTTGTGCTTTCGATTCTCTTGTTTCATGCTAAGCTTGAATTGTTTTTAGTACTTTGATGAAGTTTTAATAATATTTATGGAACTATATAATGGGGTTTACGTGAGGTTATATATGTGATTGGAAAAGAATTCCAAGGAGGAAATTCTTAATGGTTGTTTCAAGTATTGTATGTATGAATGTATGAGCTCAGTTTTGGAGGTTATCTTAACACTTTACGGGTAATCCATTCTCAAGTAGAGAAGGGTGAGACATATGGTGAAAGTAGTAGGAGATCCTAGTCTAAGGGTTTTGTCATGGCTTAAGATGCGAAACAGACTAACCTTGTGAGTGTGGTAAGGTGGAACTCATTAACAATAATTTTGCATAACAGTAAAGGTCACCACAAGTGTATGACCTGCTATAGCTCAACATCCATACATGTATCCGGATGGTCAAGTTTAGGTCTTAATAATATGCTTAGGATGTTTGCTTGATTGTGGATGAATGTAATATATGATGATTATGAAACTCCATGTTTAATTTTTTTAATGTTAGCTTATTCTTTCTTCTCTTTGTTTATTTGTATTGTTTCTTCTCTTTTGCAATGATCATCGTAACGGTGTGAATTTAGGAAAATGTTTATGGTGAACAGATGCTAGGAAGAGGTGGACCTAAAGCGTAAAGTAAAATGTGTGGTTTCAAGTTTAATTCGTTAATATAAATACCCTATTACACTTATGGTTTAGTGTAATATCTTATAGTAATCCAGGTTTTAGTATATATTTTGCTATTATAAGTAGTTTTTGGATTATTTGTAATAACATCTATACTTTCTTTGAGTTAACCACTTTATATTATTGAGGTGTAACAAATCATATGATACTTAAATACTATGAAAAATTGGAATGTTACAATATTATTAATAATAATAATAATATTTATTATTATAAATATAATAATATTATTAATAGTACGGATAATAATAACAATTATAATATAATATGTTTGGCATTTTTGTAAATAATATTAGTGGCATTTGTGAATAAAAAAGGTAGTTGGGTTTTTTTAGTGATATTTACATATATCTAGAAAAGTAATAATGGTATTTTGATAAGTTAAGTAATAGTTGGGTGCAAAATAATTAAATAGCTAAAAAGAATGTTAAATGTCACATTTTTTTTGTATGGGTAGATTAGGGATTTCAGCAATAGCATTTTCCTAAATAACATGAATAGCATTTTTCACAATAAGAAAAGGTAGTAAAAGTTTTTTTAGTGGCATTTTCGTATATCTAAAAAAGTAGTAAGAGTATTTTGATTGTTCGAGTAGTAATTAGGTGTAAAATGAATAAATAACCAAAATAATGTATAAGTGTCAAATTTTTAAGTAAATTGGGAATTTCGATAGTACTTAATTTATATACATCTCATTAACTAAAAGTGTACAAAGAAACTAAACACCAATTTCATGGTCCATGCCAAGGTAAAATATATTTGAAAACCTGATCAGAGTCTTGAAATGGAGATACTGATACACTTGAAGCATCAATTTGTAGGCAAGACTTGTATTCATTGAGCAGAAACTTTTAAATACAAAATTTTGACAGGATTAAAGAATAAACTACATGGAACAAGTAACAAAAAGCTCAAACAAAAGAAAAGAATACTGAAACCTTTGTATAACATTAAACTTAGTCCATCCAAATCACAACTCCGGAATTGAGCGACTATCTTTTTTCTTCAATTTTGACTTCCTTCGCTCATCTCTTGACCCAATCTTCTCACCTCCATCCCTTCCTTCGGATTTCTTGCGCTCTTTACTATGTTTAGATTTTTTCTTTCTTTCACTACCATCTTCAGTGTGCTCTTTGTTTCTGGAAGATTTTTTTCTTTTCAAAGGCAACTCCTCAACTTCCTCACTAAGTATCTCTGTCTGAGTTATTCCCTTGCTAGGAAGCGAAGAATCCACTCCTGAGGATGTATTTGTTACAAAAAATTAGATCAACTAGAAGTAAGGGACCACAATCACTGAAGTGGTCATGGTAAAAAATATATAAACGTTAAGAAACGGCAAGGTTCACAACTCAGGACAAGGAAAACTAATCCAGATACATCAGGCATTAAAGAAAATTACAACACTTTTGGTGACATTTTTGGGAAGGAATGACATCCAACAGTCAATATAAATCACTGTATATTTACTAATTCGAAATTTAAAAGCATTACCATTTTAAGCATATTTCATATGCTACAGTAAGGGAGTTTTTAGACAGTGTCACTGTCTCTAATATTCAACAACAAATCCATTTCATTCCCTATGACTAAATTATACAGGACTCTCATATCAAGTTGATAATTTTACTATCTCCCGAGAATACTAATATCTGTATCCCCCTAACAATTGTTTATTTCAGATCCAATTCTTTTGCTGTTTATCAAACTAATGCTAAGGTGTGACACTAGTGAGTGGACTGCTCCAGGAACAAAGAACCAGTGACACTCAACTCCAATGACTTTCTTCCAAGTTCCTTTCAATGAAGATCTTCTACCACTATATTGAAAAAGAAGAGACATACTAACCTTTAATATCAAATTTGGAGTCAAAAAGAACGTGCATAACATGTTGCTTCAGGAAAACCTGCAACCGGTAAGAAATTATATAAATGACTGTGACTACATGAATAAAGAATTACTTTAAAAAACAATAGACTTACAGATACCTACAACTATAAGCAGAAAATAAGTACAAACAATTCTAACAACCATTGAGGATCTTAGTTTAAAGCGCAGACAGGTTTCCATGTCAGCCACAAAAAAACTGGGTTTCTTCACAATATGACATCTTTTTCCCTAGTCCTCACAACCCTTAAAAGAAATGAATAGGTGAAAAGAAATATAAAACAGTCCTCTTATTAGAAAATATATGTTTAATCTTAAAACAGGTTAATGGCCTTTAGTTTATATACTTCATAACAAGATCATGTTATATTCCAATAAATAGTTTAGAAATTCAAATGGACACATCAATAAATCTATTTTAGTTTCCAGACCTACACATCCAAATAACAAGAACTATATAGCATGGTGCCATGGACAAAGAAATAGAGTATAAAACCTACAGCAGAAAGAAGCTGTCTTGTCTTTGTATCCCAAAGGCGTAAATAGCAGTCCAGTCCTGAAATGAAAGATCATGAAACTGAATTGATAACCGAAACTTAATATATTTTTGTCAGACCAAGAAACAATGAATCATTTTTCATCCAGAGAAAAGGTGATCCAGCAGCTACTAAAAGGTATTTAAGATATAAATTTGTTCCCCGAAACTAAAAAAACTTTAGAAACAAGTAAACAAATTTTAGGGATCCAAATCTTGCAACAGAGAAGCTTCACCATAATTAAAAGAAAATGCAATATTAAGGAAAAATACAGAGGAGCGCTCACCACATGAAGCTATAATAGGTAGCTCAGGGTGTCTGACTATGGATTTGATGCTTCCAGAGCATTTTCCAGAAAAACCTCCCAGCATTTTTCCTGCAATATAATTATTTGTTAAAAACAATTAAAATAACACTCATTAAAAAAGAGTCAACAAAAAAGACAACAGCAATAACAAGCATTCCTACGCTAAGTAATTAAGGTCAGTTCCATGCAATAAAACATGTCTGTAGATAAAATATTGACCTCTAAATCCTTACTAATTATTTAACCTGTAGATTTTCACAGTCTCCTATAGCCTCTAGCAATTAGGCTAGCCTCCATCAAATCTAATCTCCTTGACAAGGCTTATTATACAGGATTTTACACAAATGCCCAAATTACCAAGGCAAGTTTCTGCCACTTCTCTACAATAGGTGCTATCCAAGACAACAGAAGCAAAATAAAACAAAGTTTGTACCAAACTGAAGCTAAGTTAATGCAGTCGCACCATTTGACGACCAGGAGTCTATATAGTAGTTGCAATGTGAATAGATTACCCACTAGGCCATATGAAGCAATCACATTTTGGGGGACCACTTCTCTTGGAACATGTAACAGAAACCTAATTAAAGAAACAATCACCAGCATAGAGGTTGCACGAGGCATAAAAATGACACTTCACAAGCCTAAACCGAATCCCAAAAATATAAGCACTGGTCATGATATAGATACCTCATTATCTTATGCTTAACCTAAACTAAAATTTAACTGAATTTTGTCCTCAATAAAGGTAAATACAAGCATGAAGCAATGTTGCCCTTTGTTTTACGGACTAAAATAGGAAATGTTAAAGCAATGAATTAACTGCCCGATATTTGGAAATCACAAATTTCATGTTCATATCAATTGCTATAGAAGTGTATAACTCCGCTATTTGAAGTGCTTGGTGCATTTCTTAAGAAATAAGGTCCAATTATTGTTGGCAACACATAACTAATGTACAACATTGTCCAAAAGAAAAAAGTATTTTATATAAAGAATAAACAAGACGTTGATCAAGTAAATAGTGCCCAAAATATATGACAAGTTTTCCATTTTGGGATACCTGTGCGTATGTCAAAAGAAGCCATATCACCAGATCCATTCCCTACATAGACTGAATGGCCATCTATATCCTCGGCCAATGCTTTGATTGGTGTCTCACGAAAATCAAAAGAGAGAACAGGCCTCCTCTGAGCAGATATGTCATAAAGGCGGACCTATTCAAAAGACCAACGTTGCAAATAAAGAATGATGAGAAAACTTATACTGAGTCTGTTGGAGGAAAAAACAACAGAAACTAAGAATTTATCCCTTTCTGAATTGAAAAAGGTTATGAAAAAGGAAAAGTTGCAGTTAAATATAGTATCTAGCACAACTTTTTCAAGGATATCAAAGAAGATTACTCCATGCATTATTAGATCATTATACAAGGAAAATAAAATTTCTTCATTTATTTTAGAATTTGAGACAAATCCACTAATTAGATTATTACCTGATGGCTGTTGGTGCCAGCAACAAATTTTCGATGGTCATCTTTCATAAGAAATGCGGCAGATGTGAACCAAGTAGGTGTAAATATACCAAGGTTATCCTTAGGTGGCTGCACAAGTTAAAAAAAATTGTAAAATTAAGCACTGAAAATACTGCGCACCAGTATAAGATAAACTGGAGAAAGGTAAGCTAATAATTAATAACAAAGATGAAAAGAAGGGCTGAAGTAATGACTCACAGGTTTGGAGTTCCAGATCTTAGTGAGGTTGTTAATATCCCAAATGTTAAGTTCGACACCTTTCCTACAGACAAAGTACTTATTCATTATTTTTCAGCTCAAAATATGAGGAGATAACAGTTCTGTTTTGGTGACAATTTGTTTAGATTCTCAAGGATTATGTTAACAGGTACGCATTTTCATGTTATATAATTAATGCTTCTGCAGTAAGGTTGAGTATTTCTTTAAGGTTTTCACTTTGAGCCTTCCACAATAAAATGTGCTATTGAAGATTCGTTGGCTTCCTCAAACTCGTAAAAATTCAATTCCATACAAATTTAGGTAACTGGATGCTCGCCGTCCTTAATGCCACTTGAAATTAGCATCCCAAACAAGGAAAGGTGAAGAGGTCATATCTTTCAGACCCAAGTTTATGCAAGGCCCATCCATAGATTGCATTAAGCAAAAGTAAGTAGGAGGGATAACACCAAACTCAAAAGGCAATGATTATTTGATTTTACTATTTGATTGAGTCAAACATCATCTATTATAAAGAATTTGCTCAGAATTTATTACATGAAGTAGGTTTGCCCATAAGCTGCAGATTTATTCTGGGCCTGTGCCAGTGTAGAAGAGGATTTTTTTTTTGAAAAAGAAATTTCTTTGAAAACATTTATTTCAGGGGAATACCTTTGACTGATCTTCAAAAAAGAACAATTTGTTATTTAAATACCCTTTCATCTTTTTAGTTCCCATTTGTTACCATGCCTAGTGACTTGTCTTGTATTTTGTTCATCACTTTTATATTTCATAAAAAGGTTTCATTATCAAAAGTCGAATTCAAACTGTTTAATACTCATTTGTATTCAACCGAACTTTTAAGTTTATTTGCCACACTTACGAAAAATAAACTCACCCTCCAAATAAAGCAAAGTTCTCGTGTCTGTCCACCTTGCAACACAAGATGTTACCACCAGAGCATACATTCCATGTTTTTGGAGAGTCAGTACAGGAAGATTCTGTAGAAGAATCAGCAAGTTCAATGGACCTTATGCTAGCATTTCCTTTGGTTGTGCATGTAAGTAGAGTACAATACCTAAACAATCACCACATCCAAATGATTTAGGAAGTACATAAACACAAAATCAAGTTGCTGATAGCCCATGGACATGATAACACATACATAAGGGCATAATGCAAGAAACTAATGCATTTTAAACATGAAAGAACAAGTGCATGTACATTGAAACTAAAGATTTACTTATACTTATGGAAATAAAAATAGATACAGGTTAAGAAAGTGACAAAATCTGAATTGGATCCCCTCCTCCAACTCTGTCAAGTATCCAGGGTAAGAATTAAGTTTCCCAAGGAATTGTAATGCCTGAAATCCAAACCCAAAACAAATTGATCAACTAACCAATGCCTTCAGTGTTAAGGTAGATCCCCATTACTTAGTTAGATAAATAGTTAGGCAATTGTCCATTAAAGAAACGAGTCATGTTGCCTAAGAGGGGAAATCTCAGCCATTTGAGAGAACCTTGAAGCCTTTAGGAGCTGGAGAAGCAGACCTTCAAAGTTATGCAGGTTAACCGTAGTATACATAGGATAATTTCTTATTTTCTTCAAATATAAGATACTAAGTTCCTATCAAGTTCTCTTGTTCTGTTTATAGCAACCTAACCAATTAACTCAACAGTTGTACCACCAAAGGCTATACCCTTAACTGACAAGGTCTGACTAACAGGGGCAGGCCAGTTGATTCCTAGGTTCTATCCTTAATTTTCCTAGAGTAAACATTTCTATTTGGAAATAAGAAAGCTAAAAATGCTTAAACTACAAGTATTTTTTCTGATAATCTAGTCATGCAATCATCCAAAAGTACAGAAACTATATTAATGAATGAATAAACATCATGTCAATCCTCCCTCCTGCTATAAAGGATTCATAAAGCATTTGTCAAGGTGCAAAACAAAAATACAAGAACTTTTCAAAGTTCATTTATATGCTTGGCCTTCACACTAGTCTCCTCCCCCTCCCCTCTCCTTTCTCTCCTTGTAAGCCTTGAGCATTAGTACTATTCCAAAACTCATAATAAAAAGATTAATATCCCTAATATTCTAACAGCTATTGGATTATATGTGAAATCTAAATCCACAGAAATCTAAAAAATTACAGAAGTCTAACATATGCCCTGTTATATATACCCAATCACATCTGATACTGCAAAAACAATTCATTTCTTCATACAGGAATAGCACTTTTGCCATTGTCCATCAAGACTTCAACAAAATTGAGCAAAGAAGTTGATATGTACATTACGGACAAGAATAAAAGACAAATTCAAACAAACTTTCAAACAGCAAGTATTTATATACCTGGAATCTAATTCTGTGTTTTGTTTTTCAAATAAATGCAAACCAACAATGTTATTCTCTTCGGAGTTAACATCTAGACCACTCGCATCCGAAATTGTGGTCTGAATGTCTCCATTCACAGGGCTCAAAACTTCAATCTGTAGAATGAATATAAAGAGCAAAGCACTAAATGTTTAATAACTAACATTTAAAATAAAAAAACTTTTTTCCAGAACAAACAATAGAAGTATAGACCTTGAAACAACCTACCTCATTGTTTTTCCTTGCTACAGCTAACAACTGCAATACAAGAAATGATAGGGTGAAAAATGAGATTTGTATTTTTCGGTTTCATTTCTTTAATTTAACAGGTAATCTCCTCCCAAACAGATAGAAGACCACAATACTTTTACATGGTAATTGGGTAGTGAATGTGGGGCAGTTGAGTGCAAAAAAAAAGCAAAGATAATAAATGTTATAAAAATGAGAATGCCTGAAGCAGGTGAATTGGCAGTTGACACTCCAAAAACAAAATTAGGAATGAATGTAAATGGAAGTTCAAGCAGCACCTATTAAGGAGAAGATGACAACTAACCTAAACTTATTTGGTGATTGGAAGAAGTATAGTAGACTCCTAGAGAAGGGTGGATCAGGTGGAAAATAGATAGATTTACCGGACTAAGGAATGTCTAAAATGTTACAAGAAACAACTAAAAAAGACCTTGTTCTAAATGATTTTACTTTACACTTGGTTTTAGTAGAATTGAATGTCATGAAATGGTCAATCTAATCAAAACCCAATATAATACCATAGGTAAACTTTAAGCCTAACTCAATCTCACCAAACCTGCTTCTAAGGTGAAATTTGCATTCTCTTACATACCATAATTTGGTCAGTTCTCTAATTGACAAGGGATCTCCAACACACTCCCTCATGCTGATAATTGATCATCTCAAAGTGCAAAAATAGATATTTGTGGGTAGTCCAATAGTGGTCCAATAGTTGGTGACATGATGGGACCAATAATCTTTGCTAGGTTAGACTCTAATACCCTTCTAGAAAATGGATTTTTAAGTTAAACTCAACCTCTTAAAACTGGTTTGTAAGGTAGCTTTAGCATCCCCTTATATATGATAATTTGGTCATATCTCTAGTCAATGTGGAATCACCAACATAATGAATACGGTTTGAATGATATTGTATTAGCTAACGTGAAATTCATGCATTGCATGTTAGTGAGTTCATGAAACACTTGTTACAAAACAATTAGTCATCACAGGAATTAGTATTTCAGGATTATGAAGTCACACCCATTAAAACTTTTCTAAGAAATAATCCTCAATTAGAGAGAGAATGTTGTTCTGCAAAACACATGTACTACATAACACATTATCAATAAGGTGATTTACTCCTATCTCACTCACTTTCTCTATTTCACCCTATCTCCCTCTCTCTCTATTGCACCCCAACTCCCACTAAATTCAACAGTCAACGAGTGCATGAATCTTAGTTTAAATTTCCCAATTTTTCATCTAGATTAGAAGACACGACATAAACACAAATAAGTACTCAAACAATAAACATGCTCAGAACAGAAAAAAGAAAAAGAAAACATTTTCTCAATGCATACAGGTTGAGAGTTGCGATCAATCATTGAAACAGCCATCACACATTTGGATGATTCAGGGTCGCCCCATCTCTCTACCACCTGGGGAACTCCCCGTTGCTTATCAGGGACCTCCAAAACTAAAAACACAAGCCAAACCAAAAAAGATAAGAAAAAGAAAGTGGCACAATTAGAAAAGGGCATTTGAAAAAGGCAACACCTTTGATGAGACCAATTGAGTCAAATGTCAAAGCGCGTAGAGGAGGGCAACCGGAACACTCCAGAGTGGTTGTCCGAGGCATCTTTCACAGTCAAGTAATGTAGAGACGAAAAGGGCAACGTTGAAGGCAGCTTAAGCTTAGTTAGATAAAAACAATGCCTGAAGATCCTACTGAAAGACAGATTGAGTATCAATTACAATTACGTGAATATCCATTCAACATGAACGATACAAAGTCTTGGGTTCATGCTTTGGAAAGTACGAACTCTCCCAACAAAAACACACTCAAAAGTATCTTCCGAAACCTAGCAAACCCTCTATTTCATAAACTAAACATCAAAAACAAAAACAATGTTCAATTAACCTTAATGAATAAATACAGTAGATGTAATAGAAACACGCAGTTTAGCTAAAGAACAGTTAGACAAACCATACATGACAAATGATAAGAAAAAAGGATAAATATTTCATTATACAAAAAACAGTTATACTTACGTTGCAATAACAGAGAGAAGTGCCCAAGTAATAACGAAGAAAACATAGAAAATCATATATATACTTACGTTTAAGAAGGTTGAAAGCAACCGCAAGATTGAGAAGGAGAAATAGAGAGAAAGAGAAGAAAGAGAATAGAAAGTGGGCGCAGGGTTTATTTAGGGTAGAAGGAGGGAGATGACACAGCACGACACATACCAGGCTCGAGGACAAAAACTGTTATATGAATAAACACCATTAATCTTTTATTATTTTGTTTATATATAATAGGCCCATTTATCTTTTAAAATTTTATTTTATTTTTTAAATTTCATTCAACTAATTTTTTTATCTTAAAAGAATGATGAATTTATATTATATATACTAACATATACACAAGTATGCGTATATGTACTTTTTAAATATTTATAAATTATTTATGTTTTAAAAGTATTAATTTAAAATATAAAATTGAAAAAATAAAATGTATATACAATTATAGATAAAATAAATTTTAAATATATTGAAATAAAAGTAATGTAAGTAATATTATGTAAATAACTTTTTTTATTATGAGTAATTATTTAAATTTGAAAAAATATTTATGATAAAATAATAAATAAATAAGTAATTATTTCAATTAAAAAAATGTAGTTATTGATAAAACTTGAAAATATTTTTTATTATAAATAATCATTTAAATTTAAAAAATAAATTAAGGTAAAATTAAAAACAAAACACCAAATATGTATCGTTTTTTTATATATAGTTATAGATTATAAATTCAAATATTTCATAAAATTCGTGATTTTAGTTTCTAAATTTTTTCTTTAAAGTTTTCGTTTTTAAGTCTTAATTCTTTTATACTTGAATATTTTTTACCCATATGATAAATGATTTAAAACATTAAAGGAATAAAATTGTTAAAAAAAATTAAGAATCTAAATATGTGTATCTCCCCTGTATATATTCTGTCTGTGTATATAGTTATAGATTATAAATTCAAATATTTCATGAAATTCGTAGTTTTAGTTTCTAAATTTTTCATTTAAAGTTTTAGTTTTTAAGTCTTAATTTTTTATACTTTAATATTTTTTACCCATATGATAAATAATTTAAAACATTAAAGGAATACAATTGTTAAGAAAATAATTCAAATTATAGATTTTGTAAATTATAAAAAAATTGTTAATTAAGTATTTACAATTTTTAAATCATATATTTTTATTTATTTGTTAGTTATATTTTTATTTTGTAATCCTTGTTCTAATTTAACTATGTACCTTCATAAAGCATTTTCTTAATATATATTAATTGAAAGATATGCCTTATAAGCCTTATAAGTGTAATAACCAAAACGCCAAAACCAAAAAATATAACAATTTTTAAAATCTTCTTTTTAATATTTTTATATATAAAAAAAAAGTTAAACATGTATCATAAAAAAAAAAGAGACCAACCCAAACATGTATAAAAAAAATGGTGTAAGTAATAAAGTGTGGGGTGCGAAAATTGAAAACAGATGAAATTGGATGCTGTAATCAAAACGAGAGTGTTACTCCCTCACCATCTCATCTTCTCCATCCACCTCCCCCAATTTTCCTACCAATTTTCCTAAATTCCAATATTACCAATTTTACTTTTACCTTAACATATTTTACTTTTTATTTTTTTAAACTCTAATCCTTTTTCTCTTTCACTCTTTCTCTCAGAGGCAAACCCTCTCCCCCTCCACCCACTTTCACTTTCTCTCTTTCTTTTCAATTTTTACATCTGTTAACACCATTTTTCATCTTTGTCTTTTCTTCATTCTTTATTCTTGAAAGCTTAGTTACTTTATATTTATATGATTTGATCACTTTTGTCATATTTTTTAGAAAGTAATGAAAAGAAGTTGACAGTTTGAACAACAAATTTCATGTGATACTTCATCAACATATGTGGATGTGAGGATTTCTGAATGTGGTGTAGATTCAATAAACTAGTTCTGATATTCAAAGTCACAGGATGTGATATATGATGGTGACATAAAGAAGGTGAAAGGACTCGTGACACTATTGACGAAGAAGATGGTAGGGATTAATTATATTAGGTGTTAACAGATGTGAAAATTGAAAAGAAAAAGAGAAAGTAAAAGTGGGTGGAGAGAACTTGCCTCTGAGAGAAAGAGTGAAAGTGAAAGAGGATTAGAGTTTTAAAAAATAAAAAGTAAAATAGGTAAAAGTAAAAGGAGGTAAGATTGAAATTTAGAAAAAATTGGCGAGGTGGAGGGAGAAGATGGGGTGGTAAAGGGAGAAGATGCAAAGGCCCAACCAAACAGAAACAAACAAGACTGTGGGGTTATTATAGGGACGGGAATTACTTCTTGCACTCTATCATTTTCTGGTTACACCTCATCACTTCTCCTATCACTAAAAAGATAAATTACGACCCTTAGAAATCTCTGCAAAATTATCTTGCCATTTACAAATCGTAGAATTAAAAGCTTTCTTTTACCAAACCAAACCTATACTCCATATAGTTATTTCTTTTGGAACACTCTACTTTAATAATTTAAAAAGCAAGCACCATTTTTTGTTTGTCAATTCATATTTGCCTAAAGTTGATGTGATTGGTAAAGTTTATCTTTTAAATACGCAATTGGAGATTCAATTTTTAGTTTGTATATAGAAAGAATATCCATTAAAAATCAATATCTTAAATAGATCTCAATAATTGAAGAAAATTGTCTTTAATTTTTTGTAGCAAAAGTTCCTTCTTTGTGCTTGATTGACAAAAGATGATGACCCACAGAACTTTATAAATTGGTTTATATAAATTTGTTTGGTGTAGCTTTTTACTCTTTCTTTTTCAAAATTTACCAACTTTAATTCAATGTTCCAACATTTTTCTATTTATATCCAAATGCCTTCTCTGACCCACTTAGATTCAATAAATGACTTCGTAGTGCGTTCAAACTTTTCTTAGTGTTTTTGTTTTTTTCATTTTGAGACAATTATAGTTGTAGGAGAGAATATATAAGGATCTGAAATCTACACAATTCTTTATCAATTTTGATTTCTATTAAAATGTGTAGTTTTATACTTTTGAACGTTTTAAGAGCAAGCATTTGTATGAAGTTTTTTTAAGCCGTGTATATATAGAGAGAGAATTTTAGGTCAGGTTTTTTTTACAAATTTGTTGAGAAAGACTGATGGATTGAACACTAATAAAATAAAAATCAAATCAATGTAAAAATTAAAATGCTATTTCTAATTTAAAATATCAAGAGCATAAGCTTATAAGTAAGAAAATAATTCATTAAATTAAGATATATTATTTATAGAAAAGTAATACTCATGTATAATAGAAAAATATATTAGCAAACTGAATATAAAAAGAAACATAATAAATTATTATATATAATACCTAGAATATTCAGAAACTACAGAATTGGTTATATATGATATTTGTAATATATAAAATATTTAAAAATTAGATAATTAAATATTATATATAATATAATATATAATGTAATATATATATATATATATATATAATATAATAGTATATATAATATTTATAGTGTCTAATTATATTCATTATAATATCTCTCAAGAGAAAATTATTAGTAATTTCCAATTTTTCAATAAATCAATTGAAAGTTGTACAAAAGACCTCTGCTGATGTATTAATTATTTAATTAGATTCAATACTTATATGTTTGGACTTATCATGATAAGAGATATTAGAAGCAACATGCATGGTGAATTTGATATGCCAAAATAGCATAATTATGTGGATTAAAACTTTAAAATGCTAGAGTAATCGTTATAGCCAAATTACTTTACCGACCATAAAAGATAAAACAAGATATTATGATTCTGCGGAAGACTTGAATATAATACCTTATTTGACCTACTTTCATGAAATTAGAGAATCGTATGAAAGTTAATAGTTTATTTTTTGGTATCTAAAGAACTACAGAGTCTACATCAACATATATTGAAGGATGAGTTTGTTGTTGATTGGTAATTATTAATAAAAAATTTAAAGAATAATTTTGATGTATTATTTCAAAGAATAGAGTACCATATATATACATTCAAGGATCTTATAATTCTTCATCTATTAAAGGGATGTCAGGTGTACAAATCTGCACAAATTATAATAATATATAAACTATAACTAACACAATATTTGATTGTCTAATATCTTTTAATAGAATATTTGGCATATCTTAACACCCACACTCAAGTTGGTGCATGGATATCACACATTCCCAACTTGAATAGAGACTCATTAAACAATCTTCTTGACAGTACTTTGGTGAGAACATCGGCCAACTGCAATTCTGATCTTACAAAAGGAAATGAAATTATTCCAGCTTCAAGCTTCTCTTTGATGAAATGTCTATCAATCTCCACATGCTTTGTTCTATCATGTTGCACAGGATTGTGAGCAATTGCTATAGCCGAAGTATTGTCACAGTACAAACTCATAGCTTCATTTTGTTTAAAGCCCAAATCTGATAGCACATTTTTAATCCACAAAAGTTCACATACACCTAGTGTCATGCCTCTGAATTCTGCTTCAGCACTAGATCTTGCTACTACAGGTTGTGTTTTACTCCTCCAAGTTACAAGATTCCCTCCTACAAAAGTAAAGTATCCAGAGGTAGATCTTCTATCATCTTTTGAAACTGCCTAATCTGCATCAGTGTACCCTTCTACCTTTAAGTTTTCATGATTTGAGAACAAAATTCCTTTTCCAGGAGCAGACTTCAAATATCTCAAAATCCTTTCAACAACATCCATATGAAGCTTTTGTAGGTCATGCATAAATTGACTAACAACATTCACTGCATAGGTGATATCTGGACGTGTATGGCACAAATAAATTAATTTTCCTACTAGCCTTTGGTATCTTCCTCTGTCTATGCTTGCTGAATCTGAGCATTGAAA